ACTTTAGTAATGCTACAGGCTACTAATAGTTACTGTTAACCAGGAGTTGTTAGACACTAGTGGCAATACATGCTCCAGTAGCTATAGTAATAAATTACATACATAGGTGTATAAAATTTACTGTTGAAAGTAAGCAAGTTCATGCTTATGTTAATAATGGTCAATTTGAACATTTCCTCGGTGAATGTGACGTAACTGTCTATTCTAATCAGTTTAACATCTTTGCAAAGACCAGTAATGAACAGAACTTGGTCATCCAGAGATCAACGAAGTAGGATTAGTAAGTAAATTACGGGCCTGAAGCCCCTGGTATTGGAGTAAAGTGCCTAGGCGGCACTAGGTATAGCACATATAGTGGGTTTAATATATCGTTATACATTATTTTTTTAATAATGAAAAATAAATTGAAGCCTAATATATCACATCATGTAATACAAGGTTACTTTGTGAGTAATACAATTTAAAACACCGTGCCTTTTTTTACTCTGCTCCTAAGTTATTATAACTACTACTGTACACACGCACACACTTCATTTCGTCTTATAAACTGTACATATAATTTCATTTCATCCTATAAGTACCATACCTACGCACGTATTTTTCACTTCGTTCTATGAACACCGCACTTGTACATGTATCATTCGTTTCCTCCAATAACCTGGACGTGTATTCTTCACTTCATTCCCTGAACACCACACCTGTACATGTATCATTCTTTCCTCCAATAACCTGGACGTCTATTCTTCACTTCATTCCCTGAACACCACACCTGTACATGTATCATTCGCTTCCTCCAATAACCTGGACGTGTATTCTTCACTTCATTCCCTGAACACCACACCTGTACATGTATTTTCACTTCAGCCTATAAACACCACACTTGTACACGTATTCATCCCTTCATCCTATAAACAGCACATCAGTACCTTTACATTTCGCTTCATTCAAATGCCTATCCAACAGTTAATCTTTCATGATCATTTTTTCTACACTTACCGTCCCTCGGTGGGACAGAGGACTTATAACGCTAAAATCCGAGGGTCGATACAGCAAATAACCCAGTGTGGTTTTGTTCGGAAAACAAACTACTCTTGCCTGAATATATTAGATGACAGTAAAAATAATAATTAAACTTGTAATTATTGCGATTTAAACAAGATGTTAAAAATCAGTGCACGTTAATATAATTTAATAACTCATCCAACAGAAAAAAGCGAGAAATTTCTAACTATTTATTTTAAGAAAATTGTTTATTGTTACGTTTGCCGCGAAATGTTTTAGAATTTTTACACATGGGAGGACTGTAATGGAAAAAGTCATTAATTTCTTCTCATATAACTGGAAACAAAAATGAAACAGTTCACTCAGAAAATCGCCTTTTTATGTTTCGCAATAAGTATTTTATTAAATAGAGCC